AAGTTGCAGCCTTTTTGAGGGTGCCCCAGAGGTTCCCTCAGTCCGGACAACAACATCCCACAAAACCGTACGCTTGCATCCATAGTCGCGTTTGGCTCGACCAAACCAAACTTGCCTGCTCTGCCGCATAATATCAATGACTACTTAAGAGCATAAAAGACCATACTCCCGACTCCCAGTATGTATTAAATGTAGGCTAGCCTTCACCAAACGAATGACTCTTATCAACTTAAGCGTCATAATTTTAAATATACGTGTACGAATTTACAGGGCGCGCACGTACTGCATACCAATTAAGATAAAAAAATATGTCAAGTGGATTTAACAAGACATTTATTTCGTCAAAGGGACGTTGACATCTCCGGCGGTTAATTCGTTTTTGCCCTCATGCATGGTAGCGCGCAGTATTAGAGAGTCCTCCGTCGGGTTCTTTTGAGAGGTTCGAGTACAATCGCAGGGGGTTTATACTTATTGAAGATTAATAGATTCTCCAAATGTCTACGAGACTCCTCCAGTTGTACGTCCTGTGGATGAAAAAAGTTAGGAAGGTCACGAATAAAATATTTTTTTCTTGCTATTTAGCAATCTTCAGAATAGAATAGGATACAAAATCTCCTAGCTACATGCGAAAGCAAAGTAATTGCTGGTCAAGTTCCAGCAACGGTTATTTTTGAAGCTTATTTTCTGCTAAAAAATACCTTCCAAATATCACCGACATAAACATCGGCCATTGACGACCACTCAAATGACACTTATCACTATTTAATTTATCAAAAAAACCAGAAGGGCAGGTGGCGGGCATAATTAAGCTCTTTGAAAAATTCTCGTCAAACAATTACGTTTATATGGAAAGGGGGCCAATAATGTACACAGTAATAGGCATTTTGACAGAGCCCTTGAATTTAGTTAGCCCGTCTTTTAAAGTTTGCTTTGTCCAGTGGGGTTGCACCGATGACAGCAATGCACTGTTTGATTGCAGCCAACGCTCTTACCATTAGACGAACGAGGTTCCGGCATAAGATGTAAGTGTAATTGCATTTGGGCCAGATTACCCTTACGGTCGATACAGTAAGCTGACAACACCAGCCCGGATTGTTTAAACAATCTTAAAACGGGTAGGTGACCAACATATTAGGTTACTTGATAGGTGTTTTAATCGGTTTTACACAAACGGACTTAGCATGACTTTTCTATTTTGGGTCTCGATACTCGGAGGATTTGAGCGCTGACTGTTTTTAAACCTTGCACTGACTATCGTCCATCCAAACCTCATCAATGCCCAGGACCTCTACATAAGATTAATAATCAACGAATATCTGTCAATTCTAGAAGCAATTCGGATAGACATTTTTCTGTACTATTTTGAGTGGTTTTCCGGCTACAATCAAACAACACATTAGAAAGTTGCTAAAACTGTCAGTGTGCGGTAAATAAGCTTCCTTCATGAAAAATTATTAATTCTGGAAACGAAAGGATAACAACCAGCATAGTCTAATCTGCCAAAATAAAGGTACAAGTAATGCCCTGAGCTCAACTGATGCCTCTTTAGAATACAGGCTAAGAGCAAAATTCCAAAAAAACTATATAGCCCCAGAATGCTTACTGAAATAGTTCAAGTGGCAAATACATATATATGTAGCCCACACTTTTGGACATCAAACATGCAAGCACTTACGTAGCTGTTAACCAGAATGCTCAGAGGCACCCAGACCACAGCTTCAAGACAGAGGATAATGACCACGATGTTGCCCCAGACGTACCTTACTAATAAGGGAGAAAGAGAAATCACGACAAATAAATATATTCAGGTTATTCTTTCTACATAAGAAAAATACAAATGCCAATCTTTCCTTGCAAATGCTGAGGCGATCAATCGTTACATGACATGAGCTATTTAAAAACAAGATTTCCGAAAACGCTCTTTAAATTTCCAATACATACGCTAAATGACTAAACGTTGTCTTAGGCCTTTTACTGCAATAATTATCTTTCCGATTCGCTAGCAAACAAATGTAGCATCGTCCGAATACGGCCGTTGGTGACTGGATCCTTGTAGCAAGTTTGCCTTTCCCTAAAACTTAGAACTAGTAGTAATTTCGACTCCAATTTTGTTTGCTCCATTGGCAGTAGCCTAAATCTAGCCAAAAAAATGGCCCAAAACGAATTTTACAACTCTGCCTTTCACCAGTTAAATAGTTATGATCATTACCCGGACATGGGCCGCATGTCGAGTTCATATCAAACTTGACTCCAACGCGCGGCGGGCTCTGGGTCTGCGCGCGTTTACCCTCTAGGGCGATGTGGGCGTCTTGTGA